AGTTATTTATGTCTAAGTTTCCGGGAGCCTAGAATTTCTTTAATACAAAGATATATTTTCAAATGAATGAATTAGAAATTCAGAGATGTTGAAAAATGACATTCATGACAATCATTTACTTATTCTTCCTCTTCTTCCTTTTTTGAGACGGGAAATTACCACAGTGGTCAGGCTGGCCTGAAATTTGTGATCCTGCCTTAGTCTCCCAAGTCTTGGGATTACAGGCCTGTACCCCAAACCCAGATTCCTTCCCTCCTTTGTAACCCTTTCTGTATCCCTAATAGTGTCCCCTTTACCTTTAACCTACTCTAAATTTAACCCACGAGAGAGAAAGCACACGATAGTTATCTGAGACTAACTTACATGCCAACAAATTTTGCAACTGATTTCTTATTTCATGCATCTGTGTCAATCTCATTTTATTGGAGACATGGTCTTGCTGTGTGAGCTACTGCACCCAACTTCCTGTTATAATTATAATTGTTGCACATTTTAGGTCAATACCTGTGTTTCTAACGCAGCACACCCATGGTGTCCTATGTTCCTGAGTTGGATATACCAAGGTTGATATTTACAATATGAAATCATGAATGCTCACTAACTCCGCAGATTAGATTATAACTCCAGTGCTGGAGTTCAGTCCTTGGAATTTCAGTTGAAGAGAAGTGGTCGTTCCTATTGATGGATCTCCAAAGGGTCTTTTAGGAGGAAGGTCATGCAGACAGTAGAGAGCCACACAGAGATCAGAACACAGTGATGGATGGAACTGGGCAGAATTGTTTCAGTGTTTTGGCCACCAACTGCATGGCCACATGCTGGGTGAAATTCATGATCAAATGTGGATGGACTCTGATGGGTTCAGCTACATTTCATTGATGGCCATTTGAATCTTCTCAGTTTTGATGATCACCTAGGGCACCACTGTGTACCCCATCATGAACTCTGTCCTCCGTGACCCACATCTCTTTGAGAAGCCAGACAGCTTCTACCATGGACACTTCCTGGATGAGAAGGGCAACTTCAGGAAGCAGGAAGCCTTTATCCCACTCTCCATGGGTAAGCTGTGCGCTTCAGCCTATGACATTCTTCTGTGTGACATTCTCCTGCATCCAACCCCATGGAGGGAAAGGATGAGGATCTTGAAGGAAAGAGGAAGGGAGACATTGACAAAGACAAAGATGGAGTGGGGTGGAGACAGGAGGAGGGATGATGGAAGGGAAGATGAAGACTAAGCTGGTGATGGGGACAGAACACACACATCCATACACATGTGCACATACATGCACACATGCACACAGAACGTAGAACAGAAATGAACTATGTTATTGAGCATCTACCATGTGACAAGCATTGACTAGGGAATTTTCTTTTCTTGTTGTTAATGTAAAAATAGTTAAATTTTTCCTAATTTTTAAACATATTTATTGATTTGAGAATTTCATCCAATATATTTCGATTGTACAGCCCCTTCCTTCATCTCCACACCACCTTACTATCCTCCCCCTTCAGGTCCTCTATCACTATTTGTCTGCTTTTAAAAGGCTCGTGGAGTCTAATCTGTTTCCCAAATGCTGTTGGATGTGGGTCTGTCCCTTGGAATCTGGTCAACCTACCAGGCAACACCCCAGTAAGGAAAACTGACTCTCCTCCTCTCAGAATCTAATTGACAATAGACCCTAAGCTAGGGCTGGGCTTCCTACCCCGAGCTGGGTATATTAACCATGGCACAGAGTTCACAAAAAGAGATGGAGAAGAGCTCTCAAGGGATGATAGGTGACACAGCAGTATGATGGGTGGGACAGTTAGAGATCAGAGATTTAAGCAGGAAGTGGAGACAGGGGAGAGGAGTGGGTGGGGTGGGTTAACCAAAATTAAGGATGTATGCAAAGGGCTTATGGAAATCCACTACCTAGTAAGTGAGTTCAGAAATACAATTTAAGTGAGTTTGAACACAGTATCCCTATTAATAAGGCTTCTCCCAGAAGACATGAGTTAATAAACACGTATCTCTGTGCCAGGCATGGCATAGCTCCTTATGAATCACTTGTCAGGGAGGCCCCCAGTCTATTACCATTGCTCTTGGTTACCCACCGTAACTAGATGGTAATACTTTAATTCTGAAGAACAACATACTCTGGATGCAGAACATAGAGAAATCAACGTGGAACTGACAGGAAAGTTCTTCCTGATTGCATAGCTTTTGTAGTGCTACAGGGTGTTATGCAGGCCACTCGGGAAGAAAAGCCAACAATGGTTTTAACCAGCAGTAAACCCTGAATACCAAAATAACAACCTATCAGGTCAGGCAATATGTTGCCCACTGGTGCAATTGCGGCATGAAAATCCATTGCTATTTGATTAGATTTGATGCACAGGAGGGAATTCCTCAGGAGAGAATTCATACCTGGTACTGTAAGCCTGGTCAAAAGCCGGTGGCTCAGGAGGTCATAGGCCAAGGGGTGGGGAGGGCATTTACTTCTGGTGGTTTACTAAATGGCAATGGTGTCTAACTGCATTCTAAATATTAGTGTTTATAACCATGGATTAGTGCTGCCATCAACCTTGAGTAAAAGAGCTTCCACTGCAGCGAGCAGGAACTAATGCAGATTCCTCAGTGGTCAAAGTGCAAAGACTAAGTGGTGGTAGAATGCTCATCCTTAAGTGGGGCATCTATATTAACCCAAACACAAGGCTCAGGGAAAATCATGGAAGAGGGGGCAGAAAGAATGTAAGCACTGGAGCACAGAGAGGACAGCTGTGAAATGCCATCTTCTGCACACGACATAGCTGTGCGATCACGGACCCACTGCAGCACACGATCAAGTCAACAAGATCTGTCAGTACTCCAGCAGGCAACACTAACTGGACTAGTGAGTTAGAAAAAAAGAGGTTATGAAAACAGAATGTGGATATGTGTGGGGTGTCCAGGAGGGGTTAGAAGGAGCGATTGGAGGTGGACATATAATGTTATGTTATATACATGTAAAAAACTGCTAAAGAATGAATAAAATATAAAGACAAAAATAAAAATGTTTTAGAACTAGATAAAAGTAATGATGAATGGTTCTGAGCATGATGGAACACACCTTTAGTCCCAGCACTTGTGAGGCAGAGGCAGGTGGACCTTGGAGAGTTCCAAAGTAGCATGGTATACATAGCAAGTTCCAGGCCAGCCAGGGCTACATAGCGAGATCCTATCCTGGAAAAAGAGATTATTCATCATTCATTCTGTGCCAGGCATTGTGCTATATGCCTTTAATATCAGCACTGGGGAAGCAGAGGCAGGCAGATCTCCATGAGATTGAGAACAGCCTGATCTGCATAGCAAGTTGCAGGCCATCTGGAGCTACAGGGGAGACCCTGTCTCAGAATAAAATAATTTGTCTTGTTATGTGCATTTCCCCTCCAATGATAAAAAATCAGAACAAAATGCAATTGGTTCAGAAATGTTAAAGCTTTATTTTGATTGAAAAATTTCAAATAACTAATATCAAAGATGTGATGAAGATATTCTTGAGTCACACATTGCAGATTGAGGAAAGAATAAGCCTTTTCACTCGAAGAAGGAAAAGAACAGATTGAGGTGTGGATGATGACGGGGAAGGACATACAGTGCCCGATGCTGCCACAGCTTCCCTGTGTGAGTCTGGAGCTAGATGCTTCTTTCAAATTGACCCCAGTTTCCCTAATTGCTAGGGTCAATGCTAAGACTAAGCCCATAAAATTAGTTCTCTACTCTTAGCACCTAAGGTTTTTTCCTTGGTCAACTGAGAGTGTCATCTGGAGGGCTCTAGGGACTACTGTGTGCTGAATGAAAAATAAACTTTCCAGAGTGGAGAGCCAGGAGCTAGGAGCTTAGGAAGCCTCCTCAGGTCTAACCTTCACAGGACTGAGGGCCAAACTGAAGCATCCTGGGGAATCCACTCCCCTCTTCCTCAGTCTAGCGTGGTAAGAAACAGAGTTGGTACACAGAGGGCAGCTTCCCCAGCCCACTCACCTTTGGTGTGAGGTCAATGTCTTCTGGGGCTTTGGGGCAGCCCAAGGAGAAGTTCTGCATCACAGTGGTCAGGAAGAGGAAGAGCTCAGAGCAAGCCAGGCTCTCACCCAGACACATTCGTTTTCCTAGGAGGTGAGGAAACACACATCCTTAGAGGGACCCTTGGAGAGCACACAGGTACCCAAAGGCACTCTCTTCACATACCTGCATGATAATTTGCATAAATTTACATGTGAGGCACTCTGTTCATATTCTTGTCTTCAACAGCAATGAGAGAGAGACAGAGAGAGAGAGACAGAGAGAGAGAATGTTCAATTCCACTGTTCCAGCTAATCTCACACTTCCTGCTCTGTTTTCTCTGTCTTGGTGTCCTACTGGCTTCTTTTGTTCCCTATCTCTCTCTGGGTGTCTCTTGTTAAGTTTATTTCCTCCAGAAAGGGTGGAGTGTTACTTGGAAGTGTCCTCCGAGCATTATGCCAGCAAGCTAGTCAAGGGTATGTGGGGGGGGGGGATCAGATACCCCTCCCACCCAATCAGTTGACCTTAGCTGCATGTGGAGGAGGGGCCAAGGATACATAAGCCAAGAATGCCATGAGGCACCTCTCTCCCCATTTTGTGCAGCTGTTGAGAAGTCACAGGATCTATATTTGAGTGTCCAGAGCAGTCCTAAAGGGGTGTGGGGAGGTGCCCACTCTTCTGTAAATAAACCCCCACGCTATGCTCTATTAGCAAGTCCAATAAATGATTTGGGATTTTTTAAAGTATATTTCCTCCAAATTGAAACCCCTCCCTCCAGGAGGGAGAAGAAAGGATCATAAGACTTAGTTAGCTAATGAAATTTGCAAGGCTCTGGAAGTTCAGTAAGGCACAAGAGTCACAGGTTATATAAGCACTGAGGATACTCCTGCAAGTTTCACCTAGAGTTCCAGGGATGGAAATTTGTGACTTTTACCCATACTGGAGTGACTTTTTGGTGACTCAGCTGTCTCTGAGTCACCCATGCCCCTATATTTAACTCCTTCCCCATGCTCCTGTACATAATCCCAACAAATTCATTGCTTCACCAAGATCGACTTGGGTGGGATCATTTCTTTGGTCTGTTTTCTGTGCCCTATGTGGTGTGACTACAAATTTGGTTACATCTCTCAAGGAAAAATCACTCAACACCAAGCAAGTCAATTTATGGGAAAATGTCAAGACACAGAAGAATCTCAGCTAACATGACTTATGGGGGAAAAGGTAGGGGAAGCATGTCGGCAGACAACCATGTCTACACTAGCTGATAGAAGACTGAACTGCTTCTAAAGAAATTCATTCTGTGGTAAGCCCATGGTACCCACATGGATGTACCCACTGTGCCCCTGACCCTGGGTTCATCCAGGCTCTCCCACAGTCAGCAGCTAACCTAGTAAGCCCCACAGAATCAGATTCAGCACCACGGACAATAACCATGCAGACTGGTTGGTAGCTGAGCCATGCTTAAAACAAATTTTGGATAGCGCTCCTGAACACACTCTAAAACACGCCTCTTGTGTTCTCCGCTTATATCGTTCAGTGAGATGAGATCAAATTCTACAAAACTGACCCCTGTGGATGTGGATGGCGTTCTCAACACCCACTATTATTTTCAGGTCCCTGCAGCATAACTGAGGGTGGGTAGCAAAGGAGTCCCTGAACTGGGCCACAGTTTGGGCTGCATCCTGTTTGCAGCCTTGAAGGAGAAGGGATAGAGTCCAGAGAACATGGTAAACTGCATCATCCTCCAGAGATACAGTACAACTCACCGTGTATTAAACCTCTCTGCAACACTGAACTTGGATGGAATATATGTCATGATTTTTTTTTCTTTCCTTTTTTTCTATACATCAGGACATAGCTCCTGGGAGCCCTAGTCTCTACAGGTCTATGACCAACCACCCTGCTGGCTGAGATAGACCTGTTGTATCAGTGTGAAATTAATGTTTCAGCGATGAATTGCCAAGATGTTCAGATCATCTCCTAGTGCTGCCTGCATTGGCTAACATAGGCCTGACTTCCCAAAGCTTTGGGAAAGCCCTCTGTCCCCCTTTTTCACCTGGGCTTTTTTATCCCAGATTTACAAAAGAATATGTGATTCAGGACTAAGGCATTCATTTTCAATTATCAAAAAAATAAAATTATTTTATCACCCTGAAATGCTAACTGAATATACTCATTATGAAATCCTAATTAAGATTTTGTAACTGTTTTTTTAGATAGGGCCTGGCTTTGTAACCCAGACAGGCTATGAGTTTGCTATCCATTTTCCTCTGCCTCCCATGTGCTGAGATTAGAGATGTCCACCATCATGCCCAGCTTTTGATTAACATTTTTTTAGTCTTCTGAGACAGGGTCTCTCTGTAGCCCCAGCTGACCTGGAACTCACTATGTAGACCAGGCTGGCCTTGATCTCCCAAGTGCTGGGATTAAAGGCATGCACCATCGTGCCTGGTTTCTGATTAACAGTTTAAATAGAAGATCTCGGGGAGTTCTTTTCAGAGATAGGTTCTTCCTGTCACCCCAACTGGCCTGGATCTCACTATGTAGGCCAGGCTGGCTTCAGTCTTATAGAGATATGCCTGCCTCTGCCTCTTGAGTGCTAGGATTCAAAACATGTGCTATCACACCTAGCACCTAAATAGAAGATTTTTTAGCTAAGCTTGGTGAAATACACCTGTAATTCCGATATTTTGTGGGTAGAGACAGTAGGATCAGAAGTTCAAGGCTAGCCTCAGCTACATAGTGACTTTGAGGCCACCCTAGACTAAATAAGACCTTGTCTCAAAAATTAAAGTAATAAGACGATGCTTATAAAGTTATGGAATGGGAAGATCTTTCCTTGATTCAATTTAAAATTGGGAAAATGTGTAGAAGATTAGGCATAAAACATCTGGGAAAAACCATGGCCAGCATTAAGCTTGATAGAAAAAACTGAAAATATCCTCCTATGAGTTAGAAGTCAGACATGATTGTTTAACACAATTCTAGAACTGTTAGCCCATAAGATTTGGAAAACATTGGCATGTGGATTTAATGTAAAAAGGAATTAGGTCAAAACATCAGTTTGTGTATTCAATGGAAAAACCAAGAGATTCCAGGAAAAACTATTAGAAATTATTAAATTAATATCAGAAGCTGGGTGTGGTGGTGCACACCAATGATCCCAGCACTCTGCAGGCTGAGGCGGGAGGATCAGAAGTTCTAGGGCAGGCTAAGCTACGTGGTGAGACTCTCAAAATTAAGTTTGAAGGGCATCATCTGAAATATTTGTATTTTGTTGGAGAATTACAAGTGATTCTCAACAACTTCATTCTTTCTTGGCTGCATAAAAATGTCTCTACTAGTAACATGCACAGCACCTTCGAGTCCTAATGAAAGCTAGTCAGCCAAGATGAAGCTTCAAGATCAGTACCGGCTTGATTTCACTTTATTTGTTCTGAGACTCAAGTATGTGGAGTCTTCAGTAATAGAGTTTTACCATCAAGTTCTGCAGGGTATCCAAGTGCCATGGCAACAGCCAGTATTGTTTGAGGGGCTATAGGATCTCTCTAGTCAACAAGTCCCAAAGAAAAATTCCGTTCCTGACACTGGGCCTTTCATTTGTTACCATGTAGTGTCCATTAGGGCCACGGAGTCCTGGCTATATGATAAATATATTTAAACTCTTTTTATATTACATATGTATATAGTGAAAGAATCTTTTATAGAGGGTTTCCATATGACTTTTCCAAAAGGCCATTAGTGTCGGTTACCCAACATCTTACTTGGTCTTCTGCCCTGTGCTCTCATTACCCATGTCGTTACCCCAGCCTATCCCATTACATATACCCTTTTCCATTTATATCACTGCATTCTATCTCCCATCCCACAAACCAACTCCACCTCCCGCATGACTCCTTATTTGCTTCCTGATCTCTAAGGATCATCCAATTGAACCCACAGGCTTATTACAGCATGCATAAGACTTGTGCAGATCAAGGCGGACAAGGGCCCAGCATGGATGGGGAAGGTGGACAGGAAGCCCCAGTCCTAGCTGACGATCGATTGGCAATTAGATTCTGGGAAACAGAGTCAGTTAGTTTTCTTTACTGATGTGATGCCTGGTATTATGACCAGATTCCACATCCAACAGCATTTGGGAAACAAAGATTAGACTCCATAGGCCTTTGTTTTTAAAGACAAATAGTAATAGAGGACATGGGAGTATAAAAAAGTTGAGGGGGAGAGGTGAGGAAAGTGGTCTGTATGATCAAAGTGTATTGTATGAAATTCCCAAGTCAATAAAAATATTTTAAAATTAGAAAAAATATAATTATTTTTACATTAACAATAAAATTCCATAGCCACTGCTTGTCCCATATAGATGCTCAAGTACATCGTTCAGTTGTTCTGTGTGCATGTGTGTATGTATGTGCATGTGTGCACATGTGTGCACATGTGTATGGGTGTGTGTGTGTTCTATCCCCATCACCAGCTTAGTCTCCATCTTCCCTTCCATCATCCCTCCTCCTGTCTCCACCCCACTCCATCTTTGTCTTTGTCAATGTCTCCCTTCCTCTTTCCTTCAAGATCCTCATCCTTTCCCTCCATGGGGTTGGATGCAGGAGAATGTCACACAGAAGAATGTCATAGGCTGAAGCGCACAGCTTACCCATGGAGAGTGGGATAAAGGCTTCCTGCTTCCTGAAGTTGCCCTTCTCATCCAGGAAGTGTCCATGGTAGAAGCTGTCTGGCTTCTCAAAGAGATGTGGGTCACGGAGGACAGAGTTCATGATGGGGTACACAGTGGTGCCCTAGGTGATCATCAAAACTGAGAAGATTCAAATGGCCATCAATGAAATGTAGCTGAACCCATCAGAGTCCATCCACATTTGATCATGAATTTCACCCAGCATGTGGCCATGCAGTTGGTGGCCAAAACACTGAAACAATTCTGCCCAGTTCCATCCATCACTGTGTTCTGATCTCTGTGTGGCTCTCTACTGTCTGCATGACCTTCCTCCTAAAAGACCCTTTGGAGATCCATCAATAGGAACGACCACTTCTCTTCAACTGAAATTCCAAGGACTGAACTCCAGCACTGGAGTTATAATCTAATCAGCGGAGTTAGTGAGCATTCATGATTTCATATTGTAAATATCAACCTTGGTATATCCAACTCAGGAACATAGGACACCATGGGTGTGCTGCGTTAGAAACACAGGTATTGACCTAAAATGTGCAACAATTATAATTATAACAGGAAGTTGGGTGCAGTAGCTCACACAGCAAGACCATGTCTCCAATAAAATGAGATTGACACAGATGCATGAAATAAGAAATCAGTTGCAAAATTTGTTGGCATGTAAGTTAGTCTCAGATAACTATCGTGTGCTTTCTCTCTCGTGTGTTAAATTTAGAGTAGGTTAAAGGTAAAGGGGACACTATTAGGGATACAGAAAGGGTTACAAAGGAGGGAAGGAATCTGGGTTTGGGGTACAGGCCTGTAATCCCAAGACTTGGGAGACTAAGGCAGGATCACAAATTTCAGGCCAGCCTGACTACTGTGGTAATTTCCCGTCCAGCTTGAGCTACAAAGCAAAATGCTGTCTCATATAATCAGTCAATGGTAGTAGATACTGTCAATGTCAATGCATGTACAAAAATAACATAATGAAATCCTACCAATCTATAGAGCTAATAGATGATAATTTTAGAACAGCTAAAAACCTGTGCTGATATGAACATGAAGACAGGCTAGACACAGATAACCACACTGTACCCACAAGTTGCAAAGTGATAGATGAGGCATGCACTGGCCATCATGTAATGCGAACATACATGGCATGTATCATATAAACTCAAAGGAGTGTGAAAGCAAAGCATCAGACTGTGCCAGGTGTGGTGACAAACCCTGTAATCCCAGCACTTGGGAACTGGAAGCAGGAGGATCAGAAGTTCAAGGCCACCCTCAGCTACTTAGTGATACTTGACAACCTGGTTGAAAATAAAACCAAACAAAATAATCAAACTGTAAAAATTTCGTCGTGAAAGAGAAAGGTACGGGAGATGAGAAAATAGCTTTCTTAAAATCAACAAATAAATACATATCTACTGCATAACAAGTTTCAATATACATGTGGTACTTTTAAATAAAAGAAAATCTGCCATCTACTTCAAGACAGAGAAGCGGGGTATTATGGCCTACATTAATCCCAGCACTCCGGAGGCAGAGGCAGAGGCAGGGGAATCTCTGTGAGATGGAGGCCAACGTGGTCTCCAGAGCAAGTCCAGGTCAACTGGGGTTACAAGAGAACCTGTCTCAAAGACCAAAGAGGAGAGGGGAGAGAGAGAGAGAGAGAGAGAGAGAGACTAGAAGGGAGATGATATTCTATATTTTTTAAATCTCCCTCACCTCATAAAAATCTAGGAATAAAATCTTCCTTGTAACTAATAGCAGAAATATTCACTCCCATAAGACCAGGCACAAGGCAACCTCCACCCCAAGTCCCAGGGTCCCACAGGTCTCATCTTAAGGATATGATATCCCCAGAAGTGAGTGTCCTGGATTACACAGTGAGGGATACTGATTGGGGTGAGGTTACTGTATCTCTGAACCTCATGGATGACAGCATCTGTATAAGGCCTTTTTGCCTGATCTTCAAGGGCTGGAAGACAGTGTTGACCATTCACACTATCAGTCTCTGCCTGGACTTTCTCTGAGACAGGGTGGGGAAGAGGGACCTTAGTAAGCGCTCAACAAAGGTGCTCAACAAAGGTGCCTGAGGAGTGACAGGAGAGCTGGGCGTGGTGGTACATGCTTATAATACCAGCACTCTTAAGACTGAGAATTGACAAGTTTGAAGCCATTCTAGGCTGTGTATCAACATCAGGACCAGCTTGGATGACATAACACAGAGACACAGACACACACACACACAGACACACAGACACACACGCACACACACACCACACACACGTGACCTGAAGACTAGGGAAGTATCTTCAGAACTCTTCACTAAGGCTCTGGGAGATGGCTCAGTGGATAAAATGCTTGTCACCAAAGCATGAGGACTGAAGTTCAAGTCCTTAGAACCCATGTAAAAGCCAAGATGGCTTGGTGGCCCCTGTAATCCCAGTGCTTGGGAGAGAGAGCGACAGGGGATTCCTGGGGCAAAATGGCTACCTAGACTAGCCCAAATTGATGAGTTCTGGGTTCAGTGAGAGATCCTGCCTAAATAAAGTGGAGAGTATTTGGGGGAAAATATCTAACACCAACTTCAGAATTCTACACATGCACATACATGTATGCATTTGCATGCCCGCCCTCACACACAGCAGTACCCACGTACATGGGAACACGCATAAACACATGGGCACATACCCTCTATTAATTCTCATCAAAATTCCAGAAGCTTCTCTAGTGCACCTACTATACCAGGTGATGGCTGGAAGCAGAGGATCTCAAAATGGATCTGGGAACACACGCTCAGCATTGAACCCTTAGCTCCTTGCTCCTTGTAAGTTCCACTTCTTGTCTTCTCACCTCCAAGGTCCTCACCCTGTTCCCTTCCCCATTTCATGGCCTGGAAGGACTTGAGAAAACCCTTAGGGTTGATTTGCAAAATATTCCCCAGCAAAGGCAGAGGCCAGGGTCCAGGAAGGAGACGGCCCTTGGAGGTAGAGAGACTCCAGATCCGGACTACCCAGATGGTGAGGAGGAGGGGGATGAAAAGGGGGGAAGCCAGATAGCTCCATACCTGCAGCACATTCTCCTGAAGGGCTGGCTGGTCTCTTTGTTCTTTTATTTTTGTGGTTATTGGAGTGGGATGTGCCAGGAATCCACCTTGGCAAAGCTCCTGGTATCCCTCCAGAGGCTGCAGGGAGCCCAGTGTGGCAGGTTGAAAACCCCTCTTCCACAATGGTCCCTGAGTCCTGGGTGTGTAGTCCTCAATATAGGAGTCCAGTCCAAGGACCTACACTCTGCCAACTCGTACTCTCTGCCTTTTGGCCTTTTGTGTTCCTGGCCCTCTGTTGCATGGGGAATTTCACTGATGAGAACTGGAAGATGCATTAGTGCTCTCTTATCCCTTGTTCTATGTTCTGAGTCTTAGGTGTAGAGGTTGCATCCTAGATGTGCCACTTAGGCTTGGGCGATTCACAGAGAATGTCTGTGTGTGAGCAGTGGTGTGACTCTGTAATCTCTGTCTGTTGAAAAAGAAGCTGCTTTGATGGGTGGTGACTGGGACACTTGTCTGTAGTATTAAGGATCCATACTTTGCACATAGAAAGAAATTACATTTGTCTAGGGATATGAGAGCCTTGGGGTTTTCTTTGACCTCTCCAGCTGTGTGTATTTGGCTAGTTTACAATACCAGGCACGATTTTCCTCCCAGTGAGTGGGCTTTAAGTCCAATTAGGTAGCTGTTGATTACTCCCAAGATAAAAGTGCCACTACTGCAGAAGCCCCGAGGGGTGCTGGGGTCCAGGGCTTTCTGGTGCCTCTCCACGTTCTCAGTAACGAAATCTTTCAGTTCTTGAATGTTGCTGTACAAGTGAGTATGGGGGCCAGGACGGTGATTCAAGATGCCTGGGAGGAGTTCAAACACCTAGAGGGAAGCAGAGGAGACTCTAAGAACCTGTTTTGGCCACTCTCTGGACTGGAGTTTAAATGTTTACCCGCATACCAATCTCTCAAGGCCACTTTATAGACTTGGGGAATGTGCCTGTCAGCTGAGTGTAGGCAATCATGTGGACAGACACACATGCACACCACACACACACACACACACACACACACACACACACACACACACTACCAGAGCCAGAATCAGCCTCACACTGATGAAGTTTCTTCTCTAATCATCCTCCTTTCTGGACACATAATTTTTATCCCCAACCCAACTCAACACCTCACTTGGAGAGAGTAACAGGTGACCTATGTACGTTGGATTCCAGGGATTTGAGCGAGTGGGTAAAACAGTATGTGGGCCTGAATCCAGGACTTGGGAAAATGCCCTAGGACATCTGCAAGCAATCTACTTCCTTGAGGAATGTGTACATTTTGTTTGATTTTTCAGACAGGGACTTATGTGGCCCAGGCTGTCTCACACTCACCAAGTAAGAGAGGATGATCTTGAACTCCTGACCCTCTTGTCTCAACCTTCTGAGTGCTAAGATTGCAAGCATGCCCTCTCACAATCTGCTTATGTAATGCTGAGGATCAAACCCAGGGCTCCATGTATGGTAAGCATTCTGCCAACTGAGGACAGCCCTAGCCCACGGGTACCATTTCCTAATTCCCTTTGTAAAGTCACTGTGGATAATGACAGTTACCTGGTGAGTGTTAACTGCTCAGAAGCAGGGAAAGGCTAAGTTAAGTTCCTTTCCTCTGGAAATATGACCCAGGAGGTTTTCTTACTTCAGAGTTCAGGACACCTGGTCCCTTTCCAGGATCCACCCACCCCAATTCCTAACCCACTGGGGAACGTGTGACCTTACCTGACTGTAGAAAGAGCTGAGGATGATGACGATTTCCCCCAGCAAACTTAGCAGCCATAGGAATTTGGGGTCCTGGGAGTTAAAGTGCTCACCAAATACAATGGAGCGAATGATGTTGGCCGTGATGGATTGAAAGAGGAGGGTTGGGTTTAGAGGTGGGTTAGGTGACTGGGGACAAGAGACACATAGATATCTAAGTATCCCCTGCATTGTTTTTCTGGGAGATTGTCATGTGGCTGGTGCCAGTTCCCTGTGGGTTGGTTTCACCATCTCCTGGCTAACCTATCATGTTTTTCCACATATTCACGTTATCTATTGTTCTGTAGATGTCTGACTTAGTCTTTCTTTCTGCAACTGTCTCTCCAGTCTGGTCTCTGACTCTGTCTTTGAGAATCTGTTCCCTTTTCATAACCCCACGATCTGTGTCCTTCTGACTATTTCTATCCTCATGTTTTTATTTCTAACTTTTCTATGAGATTTTCTTATTTATATCTATCCCAATCTCTCTTTCTCTCTCTCTCTCTCTCTCTCTCTCTCTCTCTCTCTCTCTCTCTTTCTCTCTTCTCGCCTAGATCCCTAGGTTCTCCCTGGGCCTTCCACAGTTTCTTCTACCAACACTGAGCCTCCTCCTTGATCCTCTCTTTGATGCTCCATTTCCCCATCCCAAAGTCCTTCATGGTGGTCAAACAGAACCTCTTGAGGACTTTCCAAGGTTTTCCATTGGCAAAGATTATGCCTATTTGGTGGGTGTGGTAGAAAGATTCAGAGGACTCACCCAGTCTTCCCTCCTGCAGCCCCCAGGGCCCATCCCCCCCTCACCAGTTCCCTGGAAGATGGGATCAGTGATGGTGATGAACCCTCGCCCAGAGAAAGCCTCAGCCTGATCCACTAGGGCCTCCCGCATCGCCTGGTATCCACACAGGAATACGACAGTGTGGGGCCCCAGGTGGATTGTGAAGACGTCCCCATATTTCTCCCAAAGCTGCAGAGGCAGAGCCCAGATCTCACCATCTGAACCCAATGAAGAGGCCTTCCTCTCATACCTGGATCACACCCTCCAGTGTTGCCTGAGCCTCACCAGGGAAGAGCTAAACCTTGAGCTCGGTGGCTTCCTCCAAGCTTCCCTCATACACCTTTCCCAAGGGTCCTGGTTTCAGCTTTTCCAAGAATCTCACAGCTTTGGATTTCATGAACTGTACAGACTCCTACACCTGAGCACTCCTCCCCACACTGCAGACCATGATTCCAAGCTTCATTCCAGAAGCTTCTCTAGTGCACATACAATGCCAGGTGATGGCTGGAAGCAGGGGATTTCAAACTTATCTGGGAACACATGCTCAGCATTGAACCCTCAGCTCCTTGCTTCCTGCAAGTGCCACTTCTTTTCCTCTGACCTCCAAGGTCCTCACCCTGTTCCCTTTCCCATCTCACTGCCTAGAAGGACTTGAGAAAACCCTTAGGGTCGATTTGCAAAATATTCCCCAGCAAAGGCAGAGGCCAGGGTCCAGGAGGGAGGCGGCCCTTGGAGGTAGAGAGACTCCAGATCCAGACTACCCAGATGGTGAGGAGGAGGGGGATGAGGAGGGGGAAGCCAGACAGCTCTATCGTCCTCCCTCTACTGCTGGCTCCAAGAGTTCCGTGGTTCTTGGCAAGAGTGCTGTTTGACGAAGTTCCAGCCGAAAGCCGATGGCCGCTGCTCTTTTGGTGGATCTCCCTTCCCCAGTTCCTCCTGGTTTTTGTCATTTGTATAACCTTCTCTTCTTTAAGTATTGTAATAACCAACTCCGATGATGGAATGGGAAACTAAACTGGGGAAATCTCTGCCTTTAGCAGAATTATTACGTTACTGAAACAAAATGAAAGTAATAAGATAGACGACTTCCTCCTATGACTATGATCTCGTTTGGACCTGCATTTGTGATTAATAATGAGGCTTGGTTTCCCCCAAAAGGAAAAGATAGCATGCAATAGATGCCCTGCTGACTTTTACAGGAGTTTATGACTTTAACCCTAAA